AGAGAGAGAGAGAGAGGGCAGTTTGAAAGAAGAATTCTGGAGCCTGTGTGCTGAGACTATTTTAGTGAGATTATATTTAGACAGTGTTTCGGTTTGTCTCGCAGACACACGCACTGAGGAGAGATCCAACCACTATTTCAGAAACAGCACAACCCCAAATACAAGTCTGTCAAATACAAAAATAAAAATGTGCACTTACACACTCTCTGATTCTCTTCACAGCTAAATCTAAGTGTCTGCCTCTCTGCTCTGTTAGAAGCCAATCTGCTCCATCTCCACTACCGCTGAGTGGAAATCTTCATCATCCTCTCCTCCTGAGCTGCTGCGCCATCTAAAACCTTCTCCAAGTTTCCTGTGTGGAAGTTGGGGATTTTCAGCCTCTGTCACACTTTATAAGATTAATGAGCTGAGTGCAGTAAACAGTGCTTTTTTTCTCTCTCAAGGAGCCATATTGTAAACGGTGCTGGCTGACTCCGCTCACCTAATGTTAACCGTCATTACATCACCCAGAGGAAAACGAAAAAATGTCCGAGAGATGCTCTATTGTTTGTGCGTTACACCGGGCCGGGATGCGCCAACCCGCCGCCCACACGGCGCACATGGCGACCGGGCGCCTTCCCGTTTTTTCTCCCCAGAGCTGACCCCCCGTTAAGACAAAACAATGGCAGCTAGCCTGTGATACAGCCCCTCGTTGCCACAGCATTTGGTGGAAAAATAATAATGCTGCTTCTCACAGCCATCGCCGCCGCCAGGCCCGGACCCCCGATTGGCTGTTTTGGGTCACATGACCAGGAATTGGCTGCAATTTCGCCCCATAGTTCTTCAGTTTAGCCTACCCAGGTCCCCATACGCTAGTAATATCACCAATATACACAATTATTATATAGCCACCGCATTTACGCCATTGCGGTCGGGAGCCTACATGCTCGTGCGTTTTTTCTTTTCGTTTTATTTTTTTAAGAAGCCACATTGTGTTGTGTGCGTGCGCGAGCGTGCATGCGTGCGTGTATGTGTTTTGTTTTTTTTATTTTGGGGAAGGGATTGTTCGGGGGTCTCGCCGTTTGAGGGTGAAGCCGGTCTGAGGGAGCTATGAATTTTGAATTTGAGAGGGAGATCGGTTTTATAAACAGCCAGCCGTCCCTAGCAGAGTGCCTGACGTCCTTCCCCGCCGTCCTGGAGTCATTTCAAACTTCATCAATCAAGGAGTCGACAGTAATTCCGCCTCCCTTCGAGCACACCATCCCCAGCCTCAGCCCCTGCACAGCCAGCCAGCCGAGACCGACTGCTAGGAGCCAGCAGAACCGGAGAACCTCCGCCACTAATGGCCTCCAGACGCACCACCGAGGCGCCCAGCAGCCCTGTCCGCCCGGTCAGGCCCCGGCCACGGCCACGGCAGCCCCGGCCGGTCCGCTGGCCCACGAGTTCCCCTGGATGAAGGAGAAGAAGTCATCAAAGAAGTGCCCCAAGCCTGGGAGCAGCTCCAGCGGTGGCGGATCCATCATCCCCCCTGCCTCATCCTCCCCGTCGCCGACCGCCTCCGGGTACGCTTCGGCGGGCATCGAGTCGCCCACAGGTCGGTATGCTGGGATGCGGGAGCCAGTATGTGTGTATGAGTGTGTGTGGTGGGAGAGTGAGGGGTGTGCAGCCTGTGCTTTAATTTTCTGTCTGCATCTTCATTTCATTCCCACTTCAGAAATTACCTAGCATTCATTCCACACAGCATGGATGTGCTTAGATGACATTGTCTTTTTCTTCCTCGGTGTGTGTGTGTGTGTGTGTGTGTGTATTGTGCAGTGTGCTGTGATGCTGTGTCAACAGGGAAGCCATATCTAGACCACTGCATTATGCTGCAGTGCTTTGCTCACTCTCTCATCATCATGCATTTAAATATGCACCCATTAATATATCTGCCATTTTTAGAGGATCAGTATGCAGAATTCAGCTTAACACTGAGTGCAGACCGTTCACACCAGAATCCTCTTAGTTCTGTATCATATAGCCCACATTTTCTAAATGCATCTTCTGCATATGGAATTATTTATCGTGCGTAAAGACGCACAGAGGTTTTTTTTTTGTCTTTATCCATCCTGCAGTTGATTGCTGCTGCAGCCTGTATCATTCTGTTCACTGGGTGGTGTGATTTGATATCAGCAGCAGCATCACCCTGGTATTATATATTCATAACACAACTGAGATGGTAGCCATATTGGATGGAGGTAGGAAATATAATGGCGAGGCAAGGCGACCGGACAAAATATGTTGGGGTGGGGGTTGGGAGGGGGGGTATAAGCTCCATCCACACAGAATACAGACTGCACACAATCTCATTTTTCTTGGGTTTTGGTCATTTCTGTCTTTTACACTGACCTCTATAACAATCACTGCATTTTTACAGTTTTTTTCTCCCCCTCTTTATTTCACACACAATCCCACCTCCACTCATTTTTAATGGAATTCTTGTTTTCTCGTCTTTCTTTCCTGCACAATTTCCTGCCTTTATCGCATCCATGCAGCCATTCAGGGATTTACTTATGCTTCTGACAGATACTGCCACATTGGTTTCACATCGACATTCCCACATTTCCCTGCACATTTCCTCCCCATGCCCTGATATATTTATTTTCCTCTCTTTGCATTTCTCTGATCACAGGCTGCAGCCTCTCCCAGCAGGCTCACAGAAGAGTAAAACCGGCTTTGACATTATGATCATCTGTCTTTATCTGTGTTTTTATTTTGGGATTTTTTTTACCAGCACCAAATTGGTCCGCTCTTACAGTTATGGCTTTGGCTGCTACTGTAATTGGAAGGAGTATTTTTTATGAGACTTTTTGTGTTTTATTACTGTTTTATTACAGACAGAAGAGCCGAGGGGATTTCTGCTCCATGCTGAAGCAGCTTATTTCTTGGCTGGAAATCTTTGTACGCAATAAAATTGTAGAGGTTTTACAGGGCTCTCGTGAAGTAGATTACAATTTGAAGTTTAAGAGAAATATATAAAATTAAAATAAAAAATGAGAATGGCTTCAAAAGATTTCGCGCAATAAATCATCCACATAATCTCTCTCTATCTCCCTCCTTTATTTGTCTTTGTCTCCCTGCAGACCCGAGCCAGGCCAGTCTGGATGCTGGAGGAGCCGGGTCCCGCCGGCTGCGCACCGCATACACCAACACACAGCTGCTGGAGCTGGAGAAGGAGTTCCACTTCAAACAAAGTACCTTATGCCGGCCGCAGGCGGGGTGAGATTCGCCGGCGCCTCCCCCCCTGGATCTCAGGCCGAGCGGCAGGTCAAAAGTGTGTTCCAGAACCGGCGGATGAAACACAAGCGCCAGACTACTCCCCACCGGGACGGAGGTGGTGGAGGCGGCCATGAATCCAGCGACCCGGGCGGGTTTGAGCCGCTCGAAGGCGCAGATGCCTCATCCCCGTACTCAAGCCAGCCGCTGGAAGCATCTGGCACCGGGGAGGCTACATCGGAGAGCGAGCCGGGGAGCGGCAATCCGTCTTCGGCCGCTGCTCCCACCGCCTACGCCAATGACAGCGGGGACAATGCACAGCCCACGCCGGAGGAGCGAGGCCGTTTGAGCCGCCCCGAACGCCCACCGCAGCCGGGGCCACCTGGCTCCTCCGACGCTGCTGCTTCCCACCACTCCCCCGCCTGGGCGTTCAGGCGGCCACGAACGTCCGGCCAAGACCCCCAAAGCCGCGGCGTCTGATGCAGGGCTCAGCGAGGGCGGGCGCCGGCAGCAGGGCAAGCGGGTCGCGATGCCGTCCCATTTCTGCCTGAGGGCAGCGGGGGACCCCTCTCCCATTCACCTCAAACGCTCCCCCCTCGCCCTCCCGGCTCCGCTCCTGGCGCGCC